ACAACAACTATGATCTTCTACAGTGATCCCAAGTTCACATCCGAACTCTCTCGATACTTGGGTGGGCAAATAACCTTCAATTTTTTTCTAGGTTAGAGAATCTCTATTTATAGATATACCCAGTTTTCTTGAAAAAAACAAGAAACACACGCCTGACTCCTTTTTTTTTTTTAAATATGGGCACTGTAGGGACCACATAATTAATTACTGAGGCTTCCTATTATGGAAATAATTCCAAATAATTAATTTGAAATATTTTTACCATAATAAATTATAAAATCATTCCACTAGAAATTCGTAATTGCACTCCTCTATTTATATTTCGTAATTCCCCATTAAACACTTATGTAATTCCCATGTTAAGACTACAGATACTAATCAATAAATTAAATTACTGACGAATTTAATTTAATGATTAATTTCCTTTAGAGCACTACTTAACTTATTTCATGTGTCGGATTCATAAATTCACTTGCAAGGTTTGACACGATGAAAACTTATAAGTTTCTTGAAAAGGCATATCAATCAATCTCTTTAACGAGACATGAATTTCATCAACTAACTTATTATTTCACCAATATATATTATTATCATCCAATCTACAAGGCATATTGACCCATCTCAGAATCTCACCTTTTAATAAATCAAAATGACAATTAATATATGCAGATCATAATAGTTATATCAGGATTAAGAATATAAGTACATTTAATAGTTTAGAGAATATGTTTTTGTTAGTCAGTCTAAAACAACTATCTCTACTCGGCCCCCATTTAATACATACAAAATGCACTAGCACAAGAAGTTGGAACTATATTGTTCCCATAATCAAGATAAATTACATATAATCTTGTGCTACAATCGTACTGATGGCATGCCCAATTTACATCCTAGATTGTGAACAAAAAACTTTATACGTATAAGAACCGATGATTTAATCCTCTGTATATAAGCTAAAACTCTACACACTAAATCATCTACTATATAAGTAAACATACACCATAAATGAATATATGATCTATTAAATTGAGCAAATATTTATTCTATAATAAATATTACTTCTTAACATATGGTTAATAGTATATATCCCAACAGATTCCCCCATCAACTGTCGAGTTCATTGGATCGGGCTTGTCTAGCGCAAATTACATCTCTGGTGTGGGTTGCAAGCTATTGCAAAAAAAAACGAATTTACCTAACGCGCACCTAAAAGATAGCAATTGCGAATTTCTGAGTTGCACAAAAAAAAAAAAAAAAAAACAACTTACAAAAAAATTACCATATTTTGAGGGGAGAAAATATCGAAATTGAGGCGGTGTTGATAATGAATTCACCGGATGGTATTTAAACAGACCCGTTTCGATATATAAAAAAATTTCAAAAAATGAAGTCCAAAAAATATTTGGTTTTCATTATTAAGTCCCACTTTAGTGGGATGAGGAAAAGTTAGACTCCTCAATTGTATGAATTTAGCCAATCTTCCTTCATGAATTAAAGTAACAGCTCATTCCAATTAATGAATTACCGAGATTTGGAAAATATTTTTTAGATAAACAAATTCTTTAAAATGAAGTACGGAAAACAAATTTCTCAAGAGACATTCCAAGTTTATTGTCTCCTCTCCACCTATTCAACCCAACCCCTTGACCATCCCACTTCCGAACCCTCACTCCCCACCCCGTCCAATCCCCACCCCTGGACCATCTCACACTCGCCATCCTTATAGTATTTTGCTAGATTACATATAAATGTTCTTGAGATATATTTTTTTACTTACTTATCCGACACGGAAAAAACTTATTTTTCAGAAATGCATTTTCCTTAACACACCATAAAGAAGTGTTTTTCCACCTATTAAACCCAAAATGTAGCAGTTTTGTGTTTTCCATCCTTTTTGTTATTCTCCTTTTCATTTTGCATCACTACTTGGAGAAACTTTTTGGCTTTCAACTTTTTATTTTCCTATTTATCCCAAATAAATGAAGAACAGAGCCATGTGCCTTGTAAGGTTGAAAAAGACAATTATGAATTAATGACCCTCCCACAGCTTCTTACTGCTTGAGACTAAGAATTGAATGATCAAGTTGAGAAATATCTTTCACATACCATTATAGACACTTTTTTCAATTTATATATTTGTTTATTTCATCTTAATTTGTTTGTCATTTTTCTATAATTGGTAATTAATTAAACAACTACCATTAATGACATGACCTGTTGGGGCCACTTCATGCAAAAGTGTAACGTTTTTAACAGCAGAGAAAAATATAAAAAAGACATGTGAGCTCTTACATCCTCTTTAAATTGTTGATAATGAGGACTATTTTGGTACCTAATGTAAACTTTTTAGATTATGTTATGTACTGCTTCTCCTCTCACACTTTCTTTTTTAGTTCATCCAAAAAAAAAAACTTTAAAATTTACTTTTTAATGAAATGATTTATATTCACACTTTAAATTATAAATATCAAATTTTATGTAAGTCAAAGATGACACATAAATTAAAACAGAAGATATTTAGCCGTTAACGCTAGTTTAGATACGGATGTATGGATGAATCCAACCGAGTAACATTTTCCAAACATGTTTATAAGTTTTTCTTTTGTTCTTAAAATTCTATCAAATACCGTAACGTAAAATAAAGAGAAAACATTATCTTTTTGAACTGGACTATGAGAAAAAAATTGACTTAAAACGAATGAAAAGGGTAAAAAAGTTCTTGAACTATGCGAAATTGAAATAAAATGCTCCCGGTTAATAGTTTGGCCCAAAAATGTTCATGCAGTTAATAGTTTTTGGACCAAACTATTGATGGCAGAGACATTTTTAGACCAAACTATTAACTGCGGATATATTTTGTTCAATTTCGCATAGGGGATACTGTTGGAGTGTGACAACAGCAAGTGCTAGTCTAAAGAGCTTAACCACTTGAGAAGATCCCTCTCTATAAATAGAAGTCGATTCTCTCAAAGCTCTACACACTTCACTTCCTCTCTTAGCTTCAAACAAAATTATATTACTGCAATGGCTGGGAAAATGAGCATTGTATTGTTTGTTCTTTTGGTGGTTTTCCTGACTCAAAATCAGGTGAGCCCAAATGTTTTGTGCATCGATCTATTGTTTTCGACTCGAATTATATATATACGTATTGTTGAAAATATATTAAATGATGTGTGTGGTTGTGTGTTCAGGTTTCAAGGGCCAACATTATGCGTGATGAGCAGCAGCAACAACAGAGAAATAACCAACTGGTAAGATCAACTTGTTTTAATTACTACATTGTTATTTATGTACTTTCTTAGCTAATTAATTTAATTTCCATGGCTAAACTATATTTTAAATGTGGTATTTGCAGTATGGTGTTAGTCAGGGAAGTCTCCATCCTCAAGGTATATAACACTCACTTCAACATGACATATGCTCACTTACTAATTATAAGTTTAACTTCATCATACTGAATATGGTGTATTAGTAATGCTGAGATTACCGTACAATTTTTCAATCCCTTTGATAAAGGTAGCTCCGTCCTGATCAAGTGTGTTCTGTTATTTTACAGATTGTCAACCAAAATGCACGTATCGGTGTTCAAAGACAGCGTATAAGAAGCCGTGTATGTTTTTCTGCCAGAAATGCTGTGCAAAGTGCCTCTGTGTTCCTGCTGGTACCTATGGCAATAAGCAAAGTTGCCCTTGCTACAATAACTGGAAGACCAAGAGAGGTGGCCCAAAGTGCCCATGATCATCCATACTGTATTATGTCAAATCTAGTAGTATTAATTAATCAACACTTGTCTCAAGTGGTGTATTAGCTAGTAATGTTAGGCCCCAATTATATAAAAGAAGATTGGGCTAGCTACAAGTACTATAGCATGGTTATAATTATGCAGCTTTTTTATGTTACTTATTTTATATTATGATTATGATTATATCTTAAGTGATGTTTATTGGTGTACCATAAGAATTATAGCATGTTCAAGTCATCTAATTCAAGGCCAATTTGGCGTTTGAATGGTTTTTTATACTAAAGCAATCTCTCTCTCTCTCTCTCAAGACTAGTTTAGTAGTTTTTACAGCAACAAACTGATTTTTCGACTCTTGAGTATCTTAATAACCGCCGCCGGCCACCTGAATACCACCGCACCGGCCACCCTCCCGAAATCTTCGATTAAAGTACATCACTCTGAGTAGATTAATTCTCTCTGTTCAGATTTGAAACTCCTACATTCTCAAATTGTCGTTCAGTTTCTTCCAAATCATTCTCTTTCTATCGGGAAAATGGTTGTACCCGACGAAGCACTTGACAAAATGTTTTCTATTCTAGAAGCTCAATGGAAAAATCATGAACTGAGTTTTCGATTTTTCATCTGGGCTTTAAAACGAAAGCGATTTTGCAGCTGATTTTGCTTGTAAAAGATGGTGGATTCGATTTATACTGGACTGTTCTATTACGCTTTTTCAGCTTTGATTTGGGGTTATTGGAAGGTAAATAAGGCAGAAGTTGAGGCTTTTGGTAAAGATCATGATTTTGTTATGATCCTACCTATTATGGTTAGAAAAAATGCGATTCTGTTAACGTTTGCTGTGTATAATGTGATGCACAACATTTTTATTGATGAGCTGTGTAAGAGTGGTAACTGGCAAGGCTATTGATGCTTTGTGACTGTCAGATGAAGTGAGTGAGAGGAGTGTATTGCAGTATTTTGTAAACTAAATATGATTGATGAAGCACAGGCTTCTGAAGTGTTTGAAAAATCATTAGAGAATTATGTTGTTCCCGACGTTGCACTGAACACAACTATGATTCGGGGTTGTATCTGCGGCAGTCAGGGTGAATGATAAAATTCTGCACAATTAGTTTCTGCCAAAGGTGTCAGCTTTTTGAGGTAATGGCTTTCAAATGTAAAATTACATGGCTTCAGAAGAAAACAACCTCTCACTCTTTATCAGATGTTTTTGGATTCAAATATTGAGAATAGAGAAACGGTAGTTGTTTCCCTTTTATGCATTGAAAATCTTGATTAATCGGTTGCCGAACACGGGTTATACAAAAATAAAATCGACTTGTATCATGCTACACAAAATCACTTATGAGCTTTTTGGAGCTGGCACAAAGCATTGCATTACAAGCACATCTTCTCATTATCTCTATCCTTTCCAGGTCAATCTCTATATACAATTCAAATCAGGAAGGTGTTAGGTTCTTGTTACTCAACAGAAGGTACACGAGCAACGGAGCAAGCGTGGGAGAAGGGGATCATAATCCAGCTCTTGTACCTTCCCGTTTTCTACTTCTTTTCTTCTCTTCAAACAACAAATCTTTCATGGAATTATGCCGCCTACAATGTCAAAATTGGTGTTTCAGCCAAGCATAAAACATCACAGATGTGGACCCCTCTGCTGTTCTCTCTCAGACATCCCTGTCAAGGATTTTTGCAAGATGAGATCTCAAACCAAGCTGTAAATGCTATTTAGTTACATGATCCATCCGGAGGCTGTAAGTCGAGCTACCTCATCCCATAGTTATGTGTCAAACAATCAAAATCTCGACCATTCAATAACCAAGACGATCATTCAGTGAGGTGCGTCCGTCACCTGATTGCCCTGGTAAAAGTTTCACAAAGACGAGCAAAATTGTCAAAAAACTTGAACATCCATTAGTAAGCAACTAAGCTAGGCATGAACCAAATAAGTGGCATACCTTCAGGAGGAACCCAAGAATCGTAGTCCTTCTCACTCTTCAGAAATGATGGTCTGTCTGGACCAAGAACCTTCTTCTGCTTTTTTTTCTTTTCCTTCCTGGTTTGACTTTCATGTGATACATCGCGTCCGCTGGATTCCACTTCATCATCAGTACTATGGTATCTTTGAGAATGTTTCAACAGCAGAGCTACCGCATCTTCTGCTTGTATATCAGCTCCAGAGGATTCTTGAGAATCTTTGAGTTCAGTAACATCAGACTTATCAACTTGCTTGCGCTTCCTTATTATTAGTCCAGGAGCTGCACTTTCAATTCCAGAGTCGGCAGTCAACTGTGTAGCATCTGGTTTTACCAAAACTTTATTCCTGTCCTTGTAGTCGACAAATTGATCATTTTCTTGAAGTTCTGTCTGTCGTTCAATAACTTTCTCTTGTTTTTTCTTTTCATCTACAGCACCAAGCCATTGGGGCTTACTAGCAATGTACACAACATTTTTACCACCAGCTGCATCAGCCACAATCTCCTTCTTTGTTTCTTGACTGGATGAAGAGTTAGCATCAATAGTATCCTGTTTCTCCATTAAGACCTTAGGTTCTGCTCTATCTTTTTTGTTCTGCTCGGGTGGAGACTGCTGATGGGCAGCAGTTGCAACAGTTTTGGTCATATTGGTCTTTGGTTCTTGTACTTTCAACTCCCTCTTTTTAGCAGCCTCACCAGTGGGATCAGCAATCTTAAGCAAGTAAAGTACTCTGTCCAACTCCGTTTGGAGAGTAGAGAGTTCCTTGTGAAGCTTTTCCTCCTTTTCCAGAGCTGGCATCAGAACAAAAAAGTAAAAGCCTCAACAAGACGCACATGCTAAATTCTGTCAAAAATCTATCTCAACAAAGGAGTTTGAATATAATTCATGGGATACCCATTCTTCCACCGTCAGAAATGATCCCTTGCTTAATTGAATGCTCATACACATAAATATGTAAGTGTTACTGGTGTGGAAGGATTCAGCTACACCGTTCAGCAGATATGCATGTTGTTAACTGAACAAAACTACCCAATGCATTTCTCTTAGATAAATGCACAATCATACTTATAAACTGACAGCCTTATTTGTATGTATGCTCAAAAAAAATAAAAATCTTAATAATATAATAGTACCAATCATTAGGTATGCTCCCATTATGAACAGAAGAGACAAAGTGAGAGACCAGCGCATGATAAGATGCCACAAGATATTCCACAAGCTTTGTCAGATTTAACCGAAATCTCAAATATATAATATCATAAAAAGAAACCCAAATGTTACCTCCAACGAGATAAGACATTAACATTCAAGACAATTTTGGAGTTTATTTGCTAAAATAATCACGCACCTAGCTGAGATGAAAGCCCAGACATGTAAGCATCTAGTTCATCTCCAGCTTCAACTGCACTTTCCTGACCAGTACCATCCTTTTCATCAAGAAATAATTTTCTCCTGTCTTCCATTTCCCTGACAATGGCATCCTTCTTATCAAGAAGAGAATCAGCTGTCTCAATTGATTGATTTTCGCCAGCTTTGTTCTTTGAAGGCTTCTGTGTGCGATCATAGAATTCATCCTCCTCACTGTGCGGTAAGAAATTCAAGTTCACCTTGTCAATGCGCTAGCTCAACTCACTAATGACAATCCCAAGTATAATACTACTGCCAACCTAATTTAGATCATTTCAAGCAACACATACGGCGTAAAGCATCTACCACACAATGAAATTTGTTGAAATTATTGAAGATCTACAAGTTATGTACTAACCACATGTTGTCAATGGGCTAGCTCCACTCACTAAATCAAAATCACGACAATCCCAAGTGTGCGTTTGGCAAAAAAATTGTGTTTTCAGGAATGTGAAAAAACACCAAAAAACTACTTTCACTCTAACTTACTCACAAAAATTCAAAAACAACTTCAATTTGTACTCATGGCCAAACACAACTTTTTTCAAATACTCACAAATAAGTCACAATTTTCATGGCAAACGCCAATCTAACCTTTCCTAAGATCATTTCAAGAATTATGTACTGCATAAAGTATCAACCAAACAATGAAGTTTGTTGAAATAATTGAAGATCTGCAAATTACATACTAACCTTGAAAACTCTTCTTCTTCAGGCTCCCTTTTCTTTCCATTGGATGTCCTTCCAGTGCGTGCACCAAGACTTTCCCGTATACTCTCATTTAAAGTCTCTTCCAAGTTTTCAAGCTCTTCCACTATCTGATAAATTTTCAGCACATAAATTAAAGGAAGTGGCCAGGCTACCCTAAGAAAATGCTAAAACATTCTGTGTACTGGAGTATTATTAGACCTTATAAGAAAGGGAGTTAAATGAACATGTGATATTCAACACCAAATAGAACAAAAGAATATCTTCTTTGAGTATTAAGGAAACAAAGAGAAAACGCTGAAGGAGCTATTAACCTGTGACATCCTCTGTTCATTACGAGCAATTTGAGTTTGCTGTCCCTGTGTCAATCCACCTTGAGAAATATCCTTGGCCCGAATAGCATCTATCTCTTTTTTCATATGAGCAATCTAAAATCAGAAGGGGTACAATAAGAAACGCATACATTTGCAAAGGGGTACCTTTCCTCAAGAGATCCTTCGGGTTAACAGTAACATAGAGAAATTAAGTAAACAGCTACCTTTTCAAGTCTTTTCACAACTTTTTCACGTGTTTTTTCCTGCTTCTCTGTAAGTTGTCCCTTGTAAGTTTGCCAAGTTATTTCGTCAACTTCATCCTAGCATCAAAATCAATTCGGACAGCACTCTATCAGGATTTCATCACATGCTACAAGAATTTAAAATATTGAATGAATAATAGCAGGAAAGAATGACTGCAGTGTGCAAGGGATCAATGCTCGGATAAAAAGTTTAAATCGTCTATAGCAGGCGAAAGCAACCAAAGCAGACAGTTACTTGCACAACCCGTGACTCTTTAATTCCCTGGACAGTATCACTTATTATGGAGTCCACTACATTGTCAAAGGTGTTGCTGAATATTTTAAATACATAAACAATTTCTTTCAAGAAAAAATAACGGTGGGTTGGGGATTGGGCTCTGCACGTCTGCAGAGATCTAAGTTGTCTAACAGCCTACAGAGAGGGAACATTCGGAAAAAACAGAGAAAAATTAACACTAAAAACCTTGCCAGTGAGAAATTAGTTGATATGTGTAGGTGAACATATCCTAGAGTAACTCTAATAATTGTTGTCCAAAAAGAAATGTTACATTCACCAAATACCCTAAAGGAAAATGAGACACAAAAACTGACCTCGTTTTCCTCAATAGCATCATCACGCATTCCCCATGAGATCCCATCTGCACGAGATGCTTCCAGTTTTGCACGGAGAAGTGATGCTTCCATGTCATGCATCTCTTCCCGGATCTTCGCTTGTCTTACCCTCTTCAGGTCAGCTTCCTACAACATAAAAACAAAGTAATGCATTTGAAACTAGTTAACTCTAATAAAAGTGTTCTGTTTGGTAAAATTTAGCCCTTCAATTTGTTGAATGCGTGTCATCTGTTCTGGTAATCAGTTCCAAAAGGGATTTAAAGAAAAATGCTATATTGCGTTGGCAAGACAAGCAAGAATAACTGTATAAAATGTTCTAAGGAAATAAAAGGAACTCTGTCTTTTTTAACTTTTAAATAAGAACAATTATCCGATCAAGGGCATTAAATAGCTTGTACCCATAGAACATCTGGTGTGACATAGATAATGAATAAATTGGAGTTAATATCATTCCAATTGTCATTACAAAAGTAATTAGTATTTTTGGAATTGCAATAGCACAATTGTCATACCGGTGGCATCAGGTCAGTTGGTCCTTCTAATATGTATAATCGTGATGATCTGTAGAAAGTGAAGAACATTAGAAAAATGCCAAAACATTATAACACCACTAGTAAGAAAACTTGTTTATTCCTCCGAGCATGATCATTTTTAATCCAGTGTATGATTGCGCCTGCAACATAACCTTTGTACTTCTAGGACACACTTCTTCTGAAAATGTTGCATCCTAAAGGCCCAACATTCATCGTATTATTACTTTGTTGGTCTTAATTCTTAAAATCTTCTCATCTAACTTGCCTTCTCATTCTGAATGATGAAATTTTATATTTTAAAAAAAAGATAAAATGAAAGAGCTCACAGTGGAACTACGAGATCATATATCAGAATGAGGCAACCATCAATTATGAATGTAGTATATCCTAGAATCTCAATTATACATGATTTTTACTACAATCCTATCAGATAGATAACATAACAACATAGAGTGCCATTTTTCTTTTCCGGAGAGTCAAAGCTGGAGTTAATAACTTACTGTCCAAATCGAAGGACATCACCAACATGGAGATCCACAAAAACTCTCTTCTTCACCTAATAGTTTGCAAATGGGCAAGCCATTAGTATATATGTTCTTTACAGATTTGAAAAATGAAATCACACCATAATAATAATCTTGACAGTAACATGCAAGTGCTAAAAGAAAAATAATGGAGTAGCTATCAATTATGGGCAGAGGATAGAGCAGACAAGTATAAAAAGGCATGATGCATAAGCTGAAGGAATGCAATTGATTATTTGAACCTCCTCATCTGTTATATATTCTGAGTTAACTGGAGTAATGGATAGGTATAAAATGATACGTTAAAGTACCTCTTTTTTATTAACAAATGTCCCGTGTGTACTACCAAGGTCATAAACATAAGCATTGCCATTTCCCTTGAACTGCAAAACTGCAAAGAGATGGTGGTTACATAATCAATGCCAATCAAAAATCTTTTTTAAAAAACTGAACAAATACTTGCATATGAATTGTGTTAATTACACCAAGAATATCCATATAGCACAACACCACAATGATATAAGGAAATAAAAGGCTGGTAGAGCAAAGTTAGTCCCATATATACCACTTGTAGAAGTAAAGAAGCATTACCAGCATGAAAGCGAGAGATGGTCGGGTGTTCAAGGACAAAATCACAAAGATCAACACGCCCAAACATGTACGCCCCCTTCTTGTGCCTGGATAACAGTAAAAGGTGATAAGATTCCATTAAATAAAGTAAAATCCCAGCAGCTGATACAAAAAATGAAGCCTTGCAGAGTCTCAGAGACAATGCAAATGGGCCGTCCTCCCAAATGAGAGGCATGAACAGTAAGAGAGATACAGAAACCCGTACAGAATGTGATAACTAGAAAAATTAAACTTGTACAAGTTCATTTGTAGGTAACTACAAAATAAGACAGCACTTGATAAGAAACCTCAGTAACCCTTACACGTAGCTTCTAGCAATATGATAGACAATTTCAAACCAATAAACTAAACACTAGGCAATTGCACCAAAAATATAAATACTACTCAAAAAAAAAAAAAAACTTAATGTGATAATCAAGGACAGTAGTTATTTTGTTTTAGTCAAAATATTCCTAGAACTTCTAACTGGAGGACACAATAAAATTTCTGCCTTATCAATTCATTTGATTGTGTACCTAAAGTGGTACTTAAAAGCCAGCACAATAGAAGAATAAGCTTATGAGGAACTAAACATCAATTGCATTGAAGTTTGCAGACACATACACATCAAATTTATCAATGATGGATCCATCTTTAAGCACTTCAAGATAAAACTGATGACACGGACGCCCACTCCATGTTGGAATCGTGTACGGAACCGAAGCAGCCGATCGCTGTTCTTGCTTCTTGTCTTCATTGGTGTCTTTACTTTGGGACACGGAGCTCGAGCTGGAGTCCTCTTGAGAATTGGCACTTTCATCAGGTTCAGCACCGGTTTTAGAAATAACCGGTTTTAATTGGGACTTCTCTTGATCGAGTGTCGATGAATCTGAGTCCGCGTTGCTTAGAAATTTTGGAGGTGGGGGTCTCATTAAGCTCAAGCTGGAATCTTCTTGAGCATAGGCACTTTCAGTAGGTTCTGCACCGCTTTGAGAAATAACCGGTTGTGATTGGGACTTCTCTTGATCGAATTGTTTCGATGTATCCGAGTCCGACTTGCTTAGAAATTTTGGAGGTGGGGGTTTCATTGAAGTCCGAGTAGAGTTTGAGGTCGTAACTTCGTCTGAGTTTGAAGGATGAGGTTCCTGGGTCACAACCCCGGTTTTAGGGTTCCGGGGCGGCGGCGGGTTCATGTCAGTCGTCATTCTACGACGGGAGAGTGAACTGAGTGGCAAGGAGGAAGGTGGAGGAAAATCGAAGATAGGAGGAAACAGCAAGAAAGAAGGAGGTGGAGAAATTGGACCCAAATCTTGAAGCCCTCCGGATACGGGTCTAAAGCATCCAAAACGGATTTATACCCATATTTACGTGGCACTCCCTTCAGAAGGGTTTATTTTACTAAGGGTAAAAGGACAGATTTACCCCCGAACTTTAATAAATGATATGTCTATACCCTCCGTTGTACTTTGCGTTCACATAAGCCCTTGCCGTCCAATTATAGGTACACACATGCCCCTCTCACTAACGGACCTCTCATTTTTTACACGTGTCTTAACCCTAATGAACTATCCGTTTGACCTTTTTTTAAACCCATAAACCAACTATTCGCCCTATAACCCAATATCCACCCAATTTCTTCTAAGATATATCCTAATTAAAAGACTCAAATCTAAAGGTCCTGTTCCTATCACACAAAATAATACACATAAAATAAATTTTTAAAAAAACACCTACTGTTGTTTTCTTCAACTCAGCCTTCAAAGCTCTATTTCTCAGCTCCAATGGATCTATAACACTTAAACTAAATTTTCTCCTCTCTTCCTTACTGTTACATGGAGTTCTCTTCATCTCTGCTGTTGAATTTCCCGATCATACAATGATGCAACTATCAAAGGCGTTGCGTTCAGCTCACTCAAGTTCCATCTTCTTCATCAAATCCATCACTTCTTCTTCTTCTTCTTCCTCCATTAACCAACACCTTCTCTCCGTCCTTTCAAACCCAAATTGGCGAAAACACCTTTCTCTCAACACCTTTATTCCTTCTTTATCCCTTTCTCATTTCTTTTCTTTCCTTTCGCAAAATCTAAATCTCAACCCCCACATTGTAATCTCCTTCTTCGATAATTTATCTACCCGAAATACCCTTTTATTTAAACCCAATCCTCAATCTTACGCACCCCTTTTATGCATTTTGATTTCCAATAACCTCTTCCGGGTTGCTGAAAGAACCCGACTTTCTATAATTAAATCTTGCGAAACTCAGGATGATATTGTTTTCGTGATGGATTTTGTTCGGGAGATGAGGTGCAGGTTTAAAGTTGATGTTTGGGGTTATAACAAGTTGTTGATGTGCTTATCGAGGTTTGTTATGATTGATGATATGAAATATGTATATGATGAGATGTTGAGTGATATGATTAAGCCTGATATTGGGTGATAGGAACGGGACCTTTAGATTTAGGTCTTTTAATTAGAATATATCTTAGAGGAAATTGGGTTATGGGCGGATAGTTGGTTAATTTATGGGTTAAAAAAAATGTCAAACGGATAGTTCATTAGGATTAAGACACGTGTAAAAAATGAGGGGTCCGTTAGTGAGAGGGGCATGTGTGTACCTATAATTGGATGGCAGGGGCTTATGTGGACGCAAAGTATAACAGAGGGTATAGACGTACCATTTATTAAAGTTCGGGGATAAATCCGTCCTTTTTCCCTTTTATTAAATTAACTAGTAAAATTAGAATTTAATATCATAGAATTTATAAAATAATACTTAAAAGTTAAAACTTGTCTGTCATTAAAACTAAAACACTATATTATCTTACATACAAGATTACGTAGTAACAAACATTATTAATGTAAAGCAAAAATGAAAATTATAACATCTTATCATTTATTCTTAATAACATAAGCATAAATTAATGACTGTAAAAATACATATAAGGATCTGTAACATAAGCAATGATGTCAGTGAACCAATCAATAGGAGCAAAGTACACGAATATTTAATTGTGCAGAAGAAGAAGAAAAAGTTGAGAATTTTTGTTGTTTTAAAATGAAAATAAATCTCTCTATTTATAGACAATAAAAGGTAGTGTGAATAAATGTTTATTGTGCCTTATCAGAAAGGTAACAACTATTTGAAAAAGTTGCAACCCTTTGGAAATGTCACAACCTTTCACACCCACCCATGGTTCACACCCACCCAGCAGTGGTGGACCACAGACCCCTTCACGAGACATGGACCACTACACGAGCCGTGAGAAAGCTCGTGGAGGCGAGGGCAGAACCACCCAGGCTCAGGCATCAAACCACGGAGCCCTCTATGGGTCGTGGTCATGATGACGGGCCGTGGGAGGGTCTGTCGTCCTACAGCCAACAAACCCCAGCCCAAGTGAAGGACCACGGTGCCCTTCATAGTCGAATGTGTTTCACTGCCGGTTACAGATCCGTTTTACATTCTATTTCATTCTATTGTTACAGATCCTGGTATTTTTTTACAGTCATTAATTTATGCTTATGTTATTAATTATTGTTTTTGAGTATGTGCTTTAAACTTTGTTGTTTATGTTTCTGCAAAGTTATTGTTATAAGTATTTGTTAGTACAAATTAAATAACACACGTTAATTGAGTATTCATGAAGTTTTCTCTACTGAAATTATTGAAGGTACCGTAAAAAAATTCCTTAAAAATCTATATAACTATCTCTCGAAGACAAAATTCAAATTTGGTATGTTATTGTAAGGACATCAGGACCTTAAAAACTTTATCGTACTTTGATGTGCAAAGTGAACCAGTAAAAGAAGACAAGAATTAATAATCTTTTGACATGACTTCAAGTAGGGGTGGGCATAAATACCGAAAAAAGGAACCGAATCGAACTAATTCGGTTCTTCGGTTTCTCGGTTCGGTGTCGGTGTTATTTTTTTGGAAGTTCGATTCTTCGATTCGATGTTCGTGTAAAGGTCTCACAACTTTGGTGCACCAAAGAACCGAACTTTTATTATGAAAAAAAGATTATTTTTAAAAAAAAATATATATATGGGCATTCTTTTAACTAAAAAATAAAAATTCAACTAACAATTAAATCATTCATGAACAAATCAATGTAACAACAAATGTACAATTCAATAGTTAACTTCAAATATTAATTTCCAAGAGAAACTCAAACATATTTCTACCAATGTACATTATGTAAAGGAACCGTCTTCGTACTTGTTTTTCTCGAGAAATAGTTGGAGGCACAATGTTCTTGATAAAGACAAATATAGTCTTTTAGTTAGCACAATAAGTGTTCCACGGCAATACACATCATTCCTTAACATAGTTTTAAATTTCTAAGTATCTTATACTTTATCCTTATTTTATTTTTCATTCACACCAAAAAACCGATTTAAAAACACCGAATCAAATCGAACCGAACCAAATTAGTTTGGTTTAATATACGGTGCACACTTTTCTAAAACCAAAAATCGAAGAAACGAACTGAAGTTTGATTAAACCGAACCGAACGCCACCCCTAGCTTCAAGGATATTGTGCCGAATGACCTATAAAGGAATATGACTAGACTGAAGCCTCTTTTAATCCCAAAAACATAGATAAGTACACAATAAATTAATTCCTCATATTCAATATGAAGTATGAATAAATTCTCGAGTTTACTGCAAGTTGTAAATATCTTTTTTGAAGTAATAGATGTGCTTATCAACACTACGATTGGAATAGAAATGCAGTTTCAAATTGAACTTCATCACTCTGGTATGATGATTTTTAAAAAGCACCAAACAAACTAAATAGTTTTGTGTAATATTTTTCTCTTTCAATTAATAAGTTGAATTGTTGTTTAATATGATCAATTCTTCCTTTAATTTTCCATTTTAATAATTTCTTATGATACATATTTAAATTATGAATTTTAAAATAATATATGTAAAGCAAAAGGTAGAACTGAACTTTCTACACGTTAAAATTAGAATATTTGTTAACTTTTTTCAACTTATTTATTTCTTCACCAATGATTATTTATTTATTAGAAAATTTAATATCTCAAGTTGATGTTTATTTGATTCCTCAAAAATACAACACTTCTTGGAAGCAAAAAGATAAATTATAAAATTATTAATGTTCGTTACTATGTAATCTTGTATGTAAGATAATATAATGTTTTAATTTTAATGACAGATAGATTTTAAGGGTCTATTTAGAAAGCCACCTGGTAATTGAAATTGGTGTAATTACTAGGGTAGTAATTACTAGCCTAGTAATTACACAGTCTAGTAATTACACTGATTTGTTTGATTGCCACAGTATAATTACACATGTTCTGTTTGGATGCCACAGTGTAATTACACATGTTCTGTTTGGATCCACAATTGCAATCATAAAATTATATTAAATTTTAAAAATAAAAATTAATTATTTAAAATTTATACTAGACAAATAAGAAACTTTATAAATGACATTAAATTAAATATTTAAGATATATATTCTTTTTTGAAAATATATTAATTAATAAACATATATTCTTTAACCTATATTATGAAAAAATAATTTATTTATATTTTTTCAAATTAATATATTTCAATTGACTTAATCGTAAAAACTAAAAGTATGAAGTTTCTACAAACATCGTAAAATGCATGTTTGATAAAAAGATTAATATATAAATAAAATGTCATAAATTATTAAATGTTTGACAAAAAGAAATTAAAAAATAACGTGCACTGTGAATTCAATATTACTAAAACAAATGAAACAAAAAATATAACATAAGTTATAAATTCAAAACAAAAAAATTAACATGATACTCTTATAGCAAATTTCAACATAGCATGCATAAATATGATTTTTTTTCTTAAAAAAGAAAATGTAAGTCTATAACATTACTTAACAATAAATTATATTTTGATTTAAAAATTAGAATACTAATAAAATTATACTAATGAGAAAATAAGCATGACATAAAGAAATATATAATACGAAAAAATTGCATAGAATCACGTAAAGTAAGGTTGAGAACAAGAAGAAAATTAAATATAATAATATAAAATAAAAAATAAACTTTTAATTTTTTTAGAATAATAATAATAAAAAAAAGAACTTAAAATAATAGAAGTAAAAAAAATTAAAACAAAAAAAATAAAAATAGAAATTTAAAAGTAATCAACTGGTAATTACACCATGTAATTATCAGCAATTCACCGTCTTTGCCTGTGAATTGCAGAGTGTAATTACCCAT